GTGGGTTTTCTTTTGCAGGACCACATTCGATCTGAACGGAACCCAGAGAAAAGCAAACCCAGTAAAAGAAGGAAATATCCYAGGAAAGCCTGTCTCCACAATTTTCCGCTGACTCCGGCAGCTTCCAAATTGTCTCCTGCCCAAGCTGCCCAGCAAGCAGGCACTAAAAGGTTTTGCAAATGCACAGTAGTAAGTTTTCCTTTTCAAAGCACCTCTGAGCTTCAATGAAATCATGCTGGACTAACCTCAGACCACATTTTCTTCAGGAGGTTCAGTCATGCTGCAGGTGTAYGGGTGACTGGTGTGACATGCAGGGGCCAGGCCGGGGGGGATAAATTGTGAAGTGAATCTTGTGTGTACAAAAATACATCTGAAGAGCACAGGGTGATTGAGCTCTGAAAGTCAATAGCAGTGCTCCCCTTGTGAGCCAGGTTTTAGCAGACCATTCACTAAAGCTCAGAATTAATTTTGCCCAGTTTCATCCAGTCAGCTTTAAATAAAAATACATGCAAATGACTGCTGACTTTTGGCAGGTACACAAAAGGACAGGGTGAAGCAGGGAATTAGCTCCAATCCCAAACACTGAAAATATATATATTTACACTTGAAATCGGTGGCTCACTTGCACTTTCCGCTGGTAATTATTCACCATTGGCCCCTCTTCTGCAGTTCTGGTTGGATTTGCTGCAGATGAAAAAWGCCTCGTGTGGGTGGCAAAGCATGACAAGGGCATGGGCAGGGACCTTRTAATTCCTGTGTTCCTGCTGTTGGTTTGGTCAGGTCTGAATGATTCCTGCCTCTGAATTAGCTGCCTATGGATGTGTAACACTATCACAGTAAACATGCCATCCATCTGACGTGGATGGAGGGATGGATGGGTTGGCATCCGAGCCGTAAAAGTGACTCTGTTTGCAAAACAACCTCAGCAAAATGAACAGAGTGAACTGAAAAAATTACTTGTCCATTGAATCAGGCAGAAAAATAGAAAAATGCCAGATCGGAGGTGACGTACTCCACCACGTCCCGAATCCTGGTCTGTGGCACCGAGTAACATCTTTATGAGGAAATTAAGCACTTCCAGGATCCATTCTGGCCATGAAGCCAACTGAGTAGTGMTGGCCCCATCCTCTCTGCTAAAATCTTCCACCTTGGTATGGAGCAGCTGCATCCAAACTGCTGACTGGAGATGGTCTCTGGGCAAACTGTGCCTGAGCCCAGGGCTCCTTGGAGTGGATCAAAACCATGCCAGGGAAGGTTTGAACGATATAACAGTCGGGATGGTGGAGCCCTCATGCCTCGGTATCACCCTGGCATGGCACAGTTGGCTGGTTTAGATGATCCCAGGGTGAATCCAGCAGCACAAATGTGCCAGAGAAGTTGCCCACGGATCTTGTGATGTGAATAAATCCAGGCTCAACCTTCTCCATGGCAGTTTGGAAACCTCTTCGTGCAGTATCTTCTGGCCAGAAGGTGAGATATGGTATAAAGAAGGTACCTGGGAAAAGCTGAGGAGTCAAAATCAAAGTGAAACCAAAACAAGTTGCAAAAGTGAGCACCAAAAATTGAAAGGGCAAAAATATAAAACAGGAGGAGAAGACGAGACTCTCAGCACTGGGATTAGTACCAATAAAGAGCTGGGGTGKTTCTCCACCCCGAGCTTTTGGCTTGGCAAAAGGCGCTGTTTGGCAACAAGATCACAGGTAATCCCAAAAGGAAATGGTCACCACCCCAAACCGTTCGTCAGGAACACGTTGGGAGCAGTGGCAGAGCACGTGCTTTACGTTAAGGCTGCAATGAAGTCCTGGAAAAAAAGAAATAGTTCTTCAGGGTCGACACAGGCTGCCCCTGGAAATCCTTTGCTAAATGAAGATGCCGGTGGATACCGTTCAAAGAAAGGAGAAGCAGAGGCAGAAAGTTTATGCAAGTAATGAAACAGTCTCAACTCGCTGTGGAGGCACCTGCCTTGGCTGTTATCCACGCTACGAGCCACAAAGGAGGAGGACTTTGGAACAGGGATGTGTCAAGCCCTTGGTTCAGCTGGTTTGGTTGTGAGAAGTTAGCACTGTGTTGAGAAGTAAGGACACTTCCAGAGTGTTTTGCCCCTCCGCTCCCAGCACAGGGGCGGAGGTGGCGGCTGTTGGTGTGGTGGTGTGGAGTTAGATCCCGTTCCTGAGGGAAGGCAGGCTGGAGTTGCTCRTGAGAGGCAACACTGAGGGGTCTCCTCCTCCTGGCACCTGGTGACCGTGCCTTGGCTCGTTGTCACTGTCCTGGTGGGAAGGGTCCGGCTGTTCAGTGGGGCCAGTGGTCAGCACCATATCTCCAGACCTCAAGGCTGARAAATTTGGGGGAGCAGGGCCATCTTACGATGCTTTCGAAAACGAGGATGCCACCTCCTGGAAAAACAAGGTTCCCGAGGAATAGCAGGGCTGTTTGGCATCCATTCCCTTCTCATGCTCATGCCAAGGAAGTCCTGATGTGTGGGGACAGCTCTTCACACATCAAGGACCATGGGGAACCTTTACACGGGGAATTGGAGCAGGGGAATTCTACAYTAACCTTAAAGGCAAGGCAAAAGCAAGTCCTGATGGGAGAAATGCAGGCCTGTGGCTGGAGGGTGGGCACCTCCATGTTTTTAGGACTCAGGAGGCGGGGGCTGGCGAGTTCACTTCACAAATTACCTCWTTTAATGGAGACAGCACACTGATCAGGGGAGAAATGGGGTGAAATGTTAGTAGGACACTTGAGAAGGGGCCGGCTGTGGGGCACAGACAATGAAGAAGGGAAATGAAAGCTTTTCACAAATATATATCAGCTCATGTATATATATATATATATACACACATATATATGTATTTCTGTGCACAACAAACAAGGGATTGGGGAGTTAGACAGGAGATGACAAGACCAAATCCCTCCCTTTGCATGAAAATGTGACCATCACGTCATTTGTAACCAGAGCCCAGAAACATCTGCCTGAAATGGAGTTTGACTGGGAATTACAGTACCAGTGACAATTTGGCTTTGTATAAACTTTGCCATGTGTCTATAGTTTGGCGTGAAGGAGTCCTGCCCTCCTTGAAAGGGACAGAAACCAGTTAAAAGTTTCCCTTAAAAAACAAAATTAAACAACTGAAGAAACCCCAACGTTTTCTCAGAACACTGCAAAGGATCACTGATTGAAAAAAATGTTTCTCTTCAGGTATATTCAGGCGAAGAAAGCATTCAGCTTCTTTAAACTGTTATATAAAATTGGTACTAGTTTCTTTAAATACTATAATAATTAAAAAAAACAACTGATTCTTCAAATTAAAAAAAAATCATAATCATAATTTAAAAAKATCCCCCCCATGCTGATCTTCTCTTCAGAATAGGTCAGCATGGGAGTTTTGCACCCTAGACAGTTACAGTATTTCTGGAATAAAAAATTGCAATTACACACAGAAAATACTACAGCATTCACTTAAAAATATCTCATTTTGTTGTTGTTGTTTTTCCCCTCCCAAGTAGAGGGATGGTGGGATTGAAAAGATGCCCTGAAACAGGAATATTCCTTTAAAGGAGCAATACTCTCGAAAACGGAAAAAGGGTGTCGGATAGACGCGAACCYGGTGATTTAACTCGAAAAAAATTTAAAAAAACCAAGAGATTCCAGCACAGAAAACAGAATCCGAGAGAGATGAGAATGTTCAGACACCGAGCGGGTTATTTGGAAAATGTCAAGACAACCCCACAGCCCTCGGCGGGACCGTCTGGGCTTTGCCAGCATCGGAGGTGGCAGCATCTCCTGGTGGTGGAAGGCTAAGCTAAACCACGGCGCTCTTGCTACGCTCTTGGATTTCCTCTGGTTGTTGTTTTCTCGCCATGTACTTACAGTAGAGGGTGACACGAGACAGTTTTTATCAGCAGTTCCCCACATGTAACCGAGTCGAAGAGTTTTCTCAGCTAAATCACAACAACAACATCAACGAAAATACAAAGCACCAAATCATCTCGAGACGTGAGTCAGTTTTACAGGTTATTACCGTTTGAAGAAGTTTTGTTGGTTGTTTTGTTGTTGTTTGTTTTTTGTGTTTTTGTGTTTTTTTTATCCCGACTTTTCATGTTTTGTTTTCCTTAAAAACAAAACAGAAACAAAACAGAAAATCAAAACCCAAAAATCCCCAAAATGGAACGAAGGATGCTTTACAATCACTTTAAGGCTCGCACTGAATGAGACATGACAGGTCTTACACGAGATTACAAATAATACATGTATGCCTTTCACAGCCTTAAAATGATACAGTAGGTCAAATTATTTTGCCAGTCACTGATCAAGTATTGTGCCTTTAAATTGACTCGCTTTTTGCTACCATGCTGAGTTTTATTATTACTGAAATAATTATTAGATATGTGTAAATGTACTTTCGAACAGCGTTTTTGGTTTGCAATTTTGACAATTTCTTGTTTTCCAGAAATCAAGGTGGCAGGCCTTATTCTGGGCTCAGGCTGTTGGTGTTTGCGCCACTGGAGACAGTGGGGCTTTAGCTCGTGCAGTTGTTGGGAACAAGATCAGATCCTGCATTCTCACGCTGATGCGGTGCAATCCCACCTTTGCTCAGGGTCCGTTTCCGCAAGGAAAACGATTTTGGGGTGGGATCACCTTTATAACACGACTCGGTCAAGATTTGGCCCAATGGTGTTATAAATTCCTTGCCAAATTATCCTGCAGACAGACCTGATTTTGCCTTTCAGCTGTTGGAAAAATCAAACTCCATTGGGGTTGTCTTGGCTTTGCTTTCATATCTTTGCTTTCATATCTTTAGACATTAGAAGGTTTTTTTCTGCTAAATCCAATAAGAGCAACAGGATTTTTAAATTTTTTGTACATTTCTCTCCTTTTGTTTTTGTTCTTAATTTTTTTTTTAATTTTAAGGTTTGCATTTCGGTTGGATGGTTGTTTGCTTTTTTTTTTTTGTTTTTTGTTTTTTTTGTTTGTTTTTTTTCTTTTTTTTCTTGGCATATAATCATCAAAGAGTTTTGCATGAGAAAGGTGACAGTACTTAATGAAACTCAGCACCTAAGGGCATAAGGCAGTTGTAGGTTTGTTAGTTTGTTTTTTTTTTTTTTATTTTTCAATCAGCACCAATCCCATAAATAATGTTCTACACTTGGTGTACGGTATAAAACTGATGTGGAGATGCCTCCTTCTCCACCTGTGAATCCTAGGTGTGGAAGTTGAAATACTGTTTCTTGTGTGTAAAAAACAAAAGAAAAGTTTTTCTTTTTGTTTTTACTTACAAAACATAGAGAATATCTTTTTTTTTTATACATACAGCAACCAGAAAGAAAGCTTATCTGAAGGTTTGTGTTTGTTTCATGATCTGTGTTTACCGTAAACAAAAATAAGGTCCCCTCTTTTTACTTTTGCTTTAAGGAGCTTTAAAGTGAAGATTCATATTGTAGCAACTCATATAAGAGAGGTCCATCTCTATACCTAATACCTACAGCTGTGGGGGTGACATATTGGAGGATGTTGATAGTTCTTCTTAACCTCCTGTCTACAAAATGAGCATCCCAGGCAGGATATCTTTTTCTTGGGATGTCAATCTTAATGAGAGGCCCCTCGGGGGGGTAGGGTCGCCCAGATGGAGTAGATGGTACCATTGCTCTCACCTGGAAAACGGGCAAGCAAGTGTCAGCTGTGAGTTCCTCCTGTTGCTCCGTGACCGCTCTGGTGGGCGTAGCCTGGGCCCCCCGGTACCCAGGGGTTTGGGGCGCCATGGGCTCAACATCGGGGGGCAAAGGAATGCCCCAGAGCAGCTCGGCGCAACAGGAGCTGGCAAAGATCTTAGCTCTTGGCCCCATGGGATGCAGCACACCATAATATAACAGCATCAAAGCTATCCCAGCAGCAAAGCTAAGAAAGACACAACACAGTGCTGGCACGGCATAAGAGTCAGTGGTGTCAGGATCTCTGTAAAAATACCAAAGGAGCGTCAAGGTAGCGTTCTCCGTCAGGACCACCGTGTAATACGCAAACATTCGGTATCGAGTCCGCCCTTCCTTGACATTAAACCAGCAGAAAATGTACACAATCCCTACCACCATGTTGAAGAGGATCTCCTCCCACTTAGACATGCAGAAATCTGTCCCACCATGGATGATCCAGAAAGCCATGGCACACCAATGGACCACTACAAAGATCCCAAAGTAGAGCTGGAAGATGGAAGCAAAGAGAGCAAAAGAAATAACTCGGGATGAGATGGTGAAGAGGCGCCAGAAGAGATGGATGAGGGCCCCTCTGTAGCTCATACTCTTCTTGTCGTCCCTAGAGTCCCGAAGAAGCTTGTGATAGGAGGCTAGCACCCAAGCCAGGGACATCAGGGAGGCCACAGAGGACACACCTGCCGGAAGACACACAGATCCACTGAGTTAGACAGGAGCTTTGGTGGAAAACATMATCTGCTCACTAAATTATTGCATCTGGGGCAGGCTCGGGAGCCTGAAGGTTCAACTCACGTCAGGTTGTCCTTACAGTCTGGAGGAGAGAAATACAGAGATATCAGTGTGGGGAATTGGAAATGGTGCTGTGTTCAGGAGTTTTCTGACTCACTGTCCTTATCTTCCTGGGCCTCTGGATTGGCCACCCCACCCCAGCCTCATTCCTGACTGGATCCACGTTTGAGAGTTTGAAATCCAAATCCAATCYAAATGCTGCCACCCAGGTGGGAAAGTTACTTTCTGGAGAGAGSAATCTCTCCTGGAATGCACCATGGCAAGAGCGGGACACCCGCATTCCCTGCAACTGCACAGATTCTATTTTATTCCAAAGTATTTTAATTTCAGCAACATTCCCACTGATCCTGCCTTACTCAGGAATCCCCATTTGCATTTGGTTTTGGGAAAAACARGTTTTTTGTCCCATGCAGATAAACATAAATCCAGGAAACATCAAGACTCATCAACACCCTCCAAACRGTCCCAAAACAAAGGATCTGATCTCTCCAGCAAATCCCCTGCCCTGTTTCTAGGATGGACCCAAGACCTGTGTTGGAGGCAGCTCATGTCCAGCCTTATCACCTGGCTGGACCACAGATCCAAGCCACAGGCATGCCAGGGAGGGCACAGCCTGCACTGGGGTCACCTTCAGCTCCCAACACATTCCCCTGCACCCCGTGATGTTCCAGAGGGGCCTGGTCTTGTTCTCCATCCCARCCAACACTTAAACAATTTATTTCCTCCAGAAGATAAAATAGTGGCTCCGCTGCACTTCAGAGGCTTTCAAAAATACAATTCCATTGATTATCACAAGAGTAGATTGAACAACTCATGGAGCAAAGCATGGCAGTCGAGAAATTCCTGGGAAAAGCAAGAGCTGCYGGCATCTTATTCCTTTGCTCACACTACTGCTCACTGGACAAATGCCCTGCAGGTGAGGAAACAGATGATGGACCCAAATCCATGTTTGGGAGGCTCAATAATTTGGTTGGGTTGGGCCTTAGCCAAAGATTTATCAGGGAGCATCAYCTTTAAAGACCAAAGGAAAAGCTGCTAATGGTTCCAAGCAAAACAACCAATAAGAAATTCCCCTCCATCTCTGATGTGTAACTGGGAGATGGATCCAGCTTTTATTTGGATTTTACTGCTTCAGGAAAATCCAAGGAACATCTTTCTGCAGCTGCTCAGAGTTAAAAAGCTAAAATGCCCGAAAAACCTGAATTTCTTCTTCTCCCATTTTCTTTTCTCTCTGCCCACAGAGGCCTGTCTTCCATGGGAATGCAAATAAGGTCCACTGGCTCTGCAGACCKCACCCTATAGAATTTATCTGCTCATTTTTGGGGAGCCCACACCATAGTGTGGCAGGGTTAGATTTCCCCACTTCCAACCCATCCATCCATGTCTGGAGGAGAGGTGATGGAGAAGGAAGCCAGGAAGGATGACAGCTCTGCTCTCATTGTAATTCACACACCTTGCAAAGCCCACCAAAACTACAACTTTTCATCAACTCTCAAGGCTCCCTCTGAATCCCTTGCCTTTGGGCTCACATGTTTTTCTSACAGAAATTTTCTCACAGAATTTCAGACAGAATTTAAAAAATACAACAAACAACAAAGCAGTGAGACCAGTGACCTTACCCAAGAGAGAAGCTTTAAGCCACCAGCTTTAAGAAAATCCCACTTTTCCCCAAGTTCTAAATCCTCACTAAGAAACACTTGCACAGAGGACTTGGGGATTCCAACCACAGACTCACAGAAAGGTTGGAATTGGAAGGAAGCCCTGGAGATCATCCAATCCCTCTGCCAGRCTAGGGTCACCTGGAGCAGGTGGCACAGGAACAYATCCAGGTGGGTTTGGAATGTCTCCAGAGAGGGAACTCCATGCCCTCCCTGAGCAGCTGTTCCACTGCTCTGCCACCCTCAGTGTAAAGAAGTTTTTTTGTCATGTTGAGGTGGAACTCCTTGTGGATTATTTTATGGCTACTGCTCCTCATCCTATCTTTGGGCTCCACTGAAAAGAGTCTGGCACCATCCTCTGGCACCCCTCAGGGATATTTATATGGATTATTGACATCCCCTCTCAGCCGTCTCCAGACTGAACAGCCCCAGCTCCCTCAGTCCCTCCTCACAATGGATGGAAACTTCTCTATGAGAACGACCTCATACCCAAGCAGATGCAGATTMGATTAATTTTTAACCTACAAGAGGCGTTACATTGTTGGTAGACTTCATAAACAATTTTGAAAGGATGAGTAATGCCACAAAGTTTTGTTTTGCGTGTAACTACTGCTTTCTGCACTGTCTTTAAGCTATTCAGTTAAAAAACTTTTCACAAAAGGAAGGGAAGAAAAAATGTCATTTATTGCCTTATTTTAGTGCTGTTTTACTAGAAACTTGCACAGCATTAGTACAGGGAAACTCAAGCAGCGCCAACCCACAGGAGACAGATGTGTCACCTCRGCTTAAAAATGTTTCTGTTGGGCTCATTTATTCTAGAAAGGAGAGAGGAATAAAATAYACCCGCAACAATCCCCCAGTTTGCACATAAAGGCTTTACCTAATGTTTTCAGGGCAGAACCCTCCACTAATCACAGCCTTTGCTGTAAATTGCATGGAGCTGGCTAAGAGTTGCGTTCGTTGAGTCACTGGCGCGGTAGCAGAGCTGCTGACAGTCATCTGAACGTCTCCTACAGCCAGCAGAGAGAGGCACACACCCCCAGAAAGTGATTCAGCCTGTCCTAAGATCYGTGTGTGGGACAGGGAGGGGTTGACTCACGCTCCCAAGGTGTCTGACTCCATCCCTCGCCAGGGGACGAGCGAGCACCGCAATCAGTGCCCCCCGCAAAAGAACAGCTCATTGTCTCCTYATCTGCGTCGAGATCTGAGGGAGGCAATGAAGGATTCTGGACATTTTGACATAACTTTGCTGTTGTTTAAAAACTCACAACTCTGCGCTGAATGTGAGTTTTGGCACCCTGGTGATGAGCAGGGTCTGGACCTGGGGGTAAGGGGGGAGATCTGTAGGTGGACGTCAGCAGGAACTGCAGAGTGATGTAAAGATTTTTCCTGCCCTTCTACTGTGATCTAATTTCCTTCCACAGAAATTATTCCCTGGCTATTTCACACATACCCAAATGACGCAGCACTTTTGTCATCTTAGCCACAAGTTTCTCATTCCCAACTTTCCCTGTGACTTCCAGCCCGTGACATCTTCGTACAGTTTACAATTCCCACAGACTGTGGGATAAACTGTCCCTGTTTTTCTTCCCACCTTCTCCAGATTTTATTTCTCAGCAACTGTAGAGATGTTTTCAATTGTAACTAAAACAAAAAAGTCCTGGAAAGTTGGATCACATGAGCAATAGTTTTTTGTTTTGATTCTGACTTCTGCACGTGGTGACTGACGCACCTTTGTGGAGCACGAGTGGGTTTCAACTCCCTGCCAAGGTTTGTTTATCAGAGGGATGAGGYTGGGTAAACACTGAAGTCACTTTGAAAAAAGCCCACTCCCACTCCTCCCACTYTGTTCTCAGTCTTGGGAGTGGAACATCCCCACCCTGCACAATCTGTGGGCATTTTCCAGGCAGGAAGATATCAGCTCCTATGGGGCTGGAAGCCTTGTGGCTGCAGCTCTGGGGTCTRCACCTGCCCATAACGAGTCAGACTTGTCAAATCTCCCAGGCCAAAGTCAGGACCAACAAGAGGCCAAGTCCCTGTGTTTGAAATGACAAAGCACAAGAAATAACCCCCCAGATTCCTTCAGGTGTGAGCCCTGAGGTCCTTGCAGTGAGACATCTCCTCACCTACATCCAGCATGGGGAGTAGAGCTCTGTGATGTCCCATTTGACAGATGGAGCACCAAGATTTGAAGGATTTTCCCAAGATCTCTATAAAATCCAAGCTAAAGCAGGGAATAGATCCCCTTCACATCACAGTGTGCTYGATAAGGCATTTCAGACAGGATTCAGCTCCTCCTGTAAATGCTCACCCCAGGGTGTGTGTGTTTAAACGATGTCTCTTTGCTCAAAGTGGGATCAAGGTTTAGTGCCACCATCACAGGTGGGAATCCAGCAACATTTGGGATTCTTTAGGATATTCCAGACCTCCGTGTGGAGCTGGCTGATGKGACAAACTTGCATGCAGGGGACAAGAACACTTCTGAGCTGGGAGGGAAAGCACTCAGGGCATTTCAAATGATGCCAGGTGAAACCCCAAAACATTCTGCCTTCTTCAGGRGAGCTCACAATCAGTGATCAACACACATGGCACAGAGAATGTGCAACAGGAAATGGTGAAGAAAGAGATGAGAAAGCAGTGGGAATAAAGACAGGTACATAAAAGTTAAATTTCTGAGAATGTCACACTGGGGAAGAGATTCTCTGAGAAAGGGAAATAAGAGCTGTTGCTTTGGATCATGAAAACATGGGTGGACTTGAGAATAACGCAGACAGTGATCTGATACTGGAGGAGAGGAGCCTGACCCACTTTGAGTTCAAGGGAAGCTGCTGAAGCTCACAGGGACCCCCTGAATTTCATCCTGTTTTGGTTTTCCTCCTCTGGTTCCTACCCATAATCCAGAAAAAGAAAAGGTCATCTCAGATTTGTAGTGAGGCTTTGTGGAAAAAAACCCATCCACATGAAAGAATCAAAGCAATGGCTCCCCTCAAATTGCCACTGCTGTTTTTAAAACCCAGGAACAAAAGCAGTGCAGAAAAGCCATCCCTGTCTATCTGGCCTATTCCTGCTATGCAGTTATGCGTGATTTTGCAACCAGCCTAACAGAAAAATCACACACACACACAAATGAATATTTAAAATGAACAATATCCCCATTTTTGCCTTACTCTAAGGGTTGYCCAGCTGAGCACAGAGGTTTTTCACTAGGGGCAGGTGTGGTTTTCAGCATA